AGATAAACTTGGCTCATCAGAAAAACTGTACAGAAGATGTAGCCACTGAGGTGGTCCTTTAAACACTGGAGAAAATTCCATGAATGAAAAAAATTTCTTGAGTTAGAAGGTAGCGGGAACAAAACTACAAAATCAGAGAAGAATAAGGGAGAGCTGTGTGGTAGTCAGGACCCAGAGGAGGTAGGAGTAGAAGCAGAAACTGAGGCTGCTGTGGAGGGCTTGAGATCTAGACTGAAGACTTTTCGGCTAATGTTAATAAACAACTGCATTTTTTGAACGCAAATCCATTTTAATGCTATTTCACTTATTTACTTACTTTTCATTTACTTATTTATTTTTATATTCTGACTGCAGCTTTTCCTCCTTCCTCTCCTCCCAGCCCTCCTCACTTCTCCACCCCCATCTACTCCTCTGTTTCTCTCAGAAAAGGGCAAGCCTCCCAAACAGCCCTGGCATATGAAGTTGCAGTAAAACTAGATATATCCTCTCCTTTCAAGGCTAGACAAGGCGACCCAGTAGGAGGAAAAGATCCCAAAGGCAGGCAACAGAGTCAGAGACAGCTCCTGCTCCCACTATTAGGATCCCACACGAAGACTACACAACTGTACTATTATGTGTAGAAGGCCCTAGATCAGTCCCACGCAAGCTTCCTGACTGTTGGTTCAGTCTCTGTGGTTAGTTGATTCTGTGGGTTTTTTTTTTTTATGGTGTCCTTGACCCCTCCGGCTCCAACAATTCTTCTTCCCTCTATTCCATAGGATCTATTCCCCAAGCTCTGACTAATGCTTAGCTGTAGGTCTCTGCACCTGTTTCCATCAGTTGCTGGGTGAAGCCTCTCTGGTGACAGTTATGCTAGGCTCTTGTCTACAAGCATAGCAGAGTATCAGTAGTAGCGTCAGGGGTGGGCTCCCTCTCGTTGCGTGGATATCAAGTTGGCCCAGCTATTGGTTGGCCACTCACTTGATTTCTGCTCCATCTTTACTCCTATACATCTTGTAGGCAGGAAAAATTGTAGGTTGAGTATTCGTGGCTGGATTGGTGTCTCAATTCCTCCACTGAAAGGTTTCCCCAGTTAGAGTAAGCATATGGCCAGTTATGGATTCATGTCCTCCATTTCTAGGAGTCTTAGCTAGGATCACTCTCATAAATTCCTGGAAGTTTTCATCACCCTAGATTTCTAGCTCATCCCAGAGATGCCCCATTCCTGTTGTCTCACCCAGTACTTTCTACCTCCCTGATCCACCCACCTGATCCCTCCTGCTCCTGTCCCCACCCAAACCATCCAATTCCCTCCCTCTATCCACCCATGAGGTCTACTCTATTACCCCTTCTCAGTGACATTCGTGCGTTCACCCTTGAGCACTCCTTGCTACTTGGCTTTTTTGGGTCTGTGGATTATGGCATAGTTATCCTGTACTTGATGGCTAATATCCACTTATAAGTGGGTACATACTATGTTTGTCTTTCTGGGTCTGGATTACCTCCCTCAGGATAATCTTTTCTAGTTCCATCCATTTGCCTCCACATTTCATGACGTCATTGTTTTCAATAGCTGAGTAATACTCTATTGTGTAAATGTGCCACCAGTTTCTAGCTATTATGAATAAAGTCATTATGAATATAGTTGAGCAAATGTCCTTGTTGAATGGTGGAGCATCCTTTGGGTATATGCCCAGGAGTGGTATAGCTGGGTCTTCAGGTGGATCAATTTTCAACTTTCTGAGACACTACCAAATTGATTTCCAAAGTGGCTATACAAGTTTGCACTCTCACCAGAAATGGAGGAGTGTTCCTCTTGCTCCATATCCTCAACAAAATGAGCTGTCACTGGAGTTTTTATTTTTAGCCATTCTGACAGAGGTACGATGGAATCTCATAGTCATTTTGACTTGCATTTCCTTGATGACTAAGGATGTTGAACATTTCTCTTTTTGCATATGGACTTTATTTATGATAAACTACATACAGTAAGAACAGTTATGAAACAATCAGGAAAGCCAGATGTAAAAGTTACATTCAAAATGTTTAGTTTGTTTGTATTTGGCAACTTTGAAAAAAATACTGTTTATCCTATCTAAGTGAGACTTCAGTTTTGTACCTAAATCATTCTCTGTTATATCTAGTATTTATTAGCTTAAAAACATTTTTCTAGACCTTAAAACATTTTCTTAAATCCTAAACAACTTAAGCCTAACTATGAAATTATAACTCTCTAGTTTTCAACCCCATCAGGGGCTTGAGAAGGAATAAAATTATTACTTAAGTAGAAAGTATAGCAAAGCAGCTTCCAAAACTAAGAGATGACAGAGTATACTTCCTGGTAAGTTACCCATTCTCTCTTTATAATTTTGGAACATCATCTTCAGTTTTCTGACCCACAATATCTGGCTGGCATAATTGTGAAGCAGGAAATGTGAAGGACTTGCTTCCATGGCAGAGCTTGACAGTCAACTCAGTCCGGGTCCAACTTTTGTCCATTTTGGACAGCGTATTGTCTGTAGAGAGAGCTGGGGCATTTTTGCCCAGTGGCTGACTTACAGTTAGTGAAACTGCCTCCAAAAGGAATTTTTATGATGCTCATCATCTTCATTGAGGTAGGCTGGGGGTGATGCCAGTAGCTGACATGTTTCAAGTCAAAAAGACCTTAAATTAATAAAAATATCTTTAAATGCCATGTTCTGTAGGTCTCTGAAGTTTGTGAAGACCAACTATCTATTTAAATTTATATTTACATAGCGTGAAGTCATATCTATCTGTCATAAATCTGAATGGTAGATGTTGCCTGTTTCTAGATATTTGCCATCTCTTCAACCTAGGATATATATTTCTATAATAAACTAGACATCTGGGTCCCAGCTCTTCCCTGTCCCATTCTCCCAACCTCTTCATGTTTCTCCCCTCCCTTTCTCATCAAAAAAGCCAAACCCCCACCTATCAAACACACATCAAGCCACATCAGTACCAAGCAAATTCTTCTCCACTGAGGCCAGACTAGGCAGCTCAGCCAGGGAAAAGTGATTCAAAAGCAGGCAATAGAGTTTATGTCAGAGAGAGCCCCCCCAACCCTGCTCCACTTACTAGGGAACCCACATGAAGACCAAGCTGCCCACTGTTTACAATATGTGTCGGGGGCCTAGATCCAGTTTATGCATTCTCTTTGGTTGGTGCTTCATTCTCTGTGAGCCTCCTTGGGCCTAGGTTAGTTGCCTCTGTTGGTCTTCTTGTGGAGTTCTTGTCCCCTCTGGGTTTTTCTGTCCTTCCCCCCACACTCTTCCACAAAACTCCTCAAGTTCCACCTAATGTTTGTCTGTGGTTCTCAGTGTGTGTTTCCATCTGCTGCTGGGTGGAGCATCTCAGAAGATAATTATGATAGGCTCCTGTCTACAAGCAGAGCAGAACACTGATAATAGTGTCAGGGCTGGCTCTCTCCCATGGGATGGCACTCTGGCTGGGCCAGTCATTCGTTTTCCTTTCCCTCAATCTCTGGTCCATCATTATGCCTACACATCTTGTAGGTAAGGTAAATTTGGGGTCTAAAGTTTTGTGGGTGGGTTGGCGTCCCCCTCCCTTTCCCTCTACTGGAACTCCTACCTGGCTAGGCGGTGACCACTTCATTCTCCATGTCCCCCGCTACTAGGAGTCTCAGCTAGAGTCACCCCCATATCCTCCCAGGAGGCTCTTCTGTTGCAGGTCTCTGGGTTGTCCCACAGGGACCACACCCCCTCAATTTCCCTTCTCTCTCCCAGCTCTCTTGACCCCTCCCCTGATCTCTCCATACCCACCTTCGTTCCCTTCCACATACCCTGTGTCATCCTGTTACCCCTCTTCATCTACTTCTGATGTCTATTCTATTTTCTGTTCTGAGTGGGAGTCAAGCATGCTCCCTTGGGCCCTCCTTGTTACTTAGCTTCTTTGGGTCCATTGTTATAACAAAGAACTTTTAATTCTATTCCTTCCAGTTATACCTGTTTTGTTTCTAAAAAGGGAAGTTGGGGTAATCAGATTTCAAGAAGGTTCCCACACACTCTCACTTTCCATTTTTTACACTTTGGGGTATTATCTTCTTCAGTTGTGTGAAGCAGAAGTTGGGTATAAATCCTGAAGCTGCCTCATGAAAAACTGCAGCTTTAGGTTTTTGCTTACTTTCTCAAGTGGAAGGTGGCCCCCTGTGTTCTGAGCACACACAGGTTACACTGTGGAGTTTTCCGTATGTGAGGAGCTGACTGGCCATAATCAGCACCGAGGCACCAGCTGTGAGAGTAAGCCATCCAGGAATCAGATTTGAGCTTTTGTCAGATCCCTGGATGATTGTGGTTTTAGCCGTAGCCACAACATTTACCATGAGAGTTTTCTATAGCATTTTGTGAATAAAGTGGTTTTAAAAGAACACTGTATTTTAAGTCTTCTAAAAGCTTAAATGGCATGATCTGGAAAGAGATTGTGGAAGTATGAAGAAAAGAGGAAAACCTATGAATGATGAATGAAAGAACAGAACAAAGAGGGTATCCTTGTCTGCTCCTCCTTTGCTATGAAATAAAATACTGCAACTTGGAGGAACCGTTTATTTCGTATTATACTTTCAACTAATAGCAGTTCGTCATAGAAAGAAGACAGGGGCAAGAACCTGGGGCAGGAACCCGAGGGCAGAGGTGGAGGCATGATGCCTTCCGGCTTCTTCTCCATGGCTTTCACAGCTTGCTTTCTTACATAACCCATGACCACCTGCCCAGGTGTCGTAATAATTACGACAATCATTAATCAAGAAAATGCCCCACAGACTTGTGACAAGCCAATCTGGTGGAGGCAATTCCTTAGCTGGGGATCCTCCTTCCCAGGTGGCTCTAGTTTGTGCCAAGCTGACAAAACTCAGGCCATCACAGAGAGAAAAGACACGTTCTGTTGTCAGGGAAAAGGAGCATCTAGAGAGAGAATGGCTACAGTCACACGCACATGCCAGGAAGACATGGTTTCTTGGTGGGCATAAATGAATAAAATGCCACTCATAGGTAAACCTTCTTCATTTCACATATTGAACGCCGTTTAGTATCACACAAAACATCGTTCCAGGCCCATTTCGCAGGATTCCAGAAAACTATCGAAGCACATCGCTCTGCAGGAGAATTGGGCTCATTTGGGTGCCAGAACCTACAGGAAACAAAAGTCACAAATAACTCCTCTGTGAGTGCATGGCAGTTGCTTGAAAAGTGGAATTTAATGTTGAATGGTATATCTGGATCTTGGGGTAGCGCTATTCCCAATTTTCTGAGAAAGTGTCAGATTGATTTCCAAAGTGGTTGGACAAGATTGCACTCCCACCAGCAACAGAGGAGAGTTCTACTTTCTCCACATCCTCCTCAGAATGTGCTGTCACGTGAGGTTTTTTTATCGTAGCCATTCTGATGGGTGTAAGATGGGATCCTAAGACCCAGATATACCACTCCTGGGCATATCCCCAAAAGACGCTCCACTATACAACTATATCAACCATGTTCATAGCAGTTTTATTTGTAATAGGCAGAATCTGGAAACAACCTAGATGTTCCTCAACCAAAAAATTGATAAAGAAATTGTGAGACAGCTACACAATGGAATACTACGCAGCTATTAAAAACAAGAAAACTGTGATATTTGCAGACAAATGGATGGAACTAGAAAAGATCATCCTGAGTGAGGTAACCCAGAAGCAGAAAGACATGTATGGTATATACTCACTTATAAGCAGACATTAGCCACAGAATACAAGATAAACACACTACAATCCATAGACCTGAAGAAGCTAAGTAACAAGGAGGACCCTAAGAAGGATGCTTAATTCTCATTCAGAAGGCCAGGTAGAATAAACACCAGATGTGGTTGAAGAGAGGGAACAGGACAGGAGTTGTCCATAGATGTCCTCTGAAAGACTCCATCCAGCAGGGGATTGAAGCAGATGCTCAGACTCACAGCCAGACTTTGGGCAGAGTGCAGGGAGTCTTATGAAAGAGTGAGGAGATAGAAGGACCCAGAAGAAACAAACGCTCCCCAAGGAGATCAACAAAGCCAACACATCTGGGCCTGGGTGGAGGGGAGCTGCAGAAATTGATGCACCAACCAAGGACCATGCATGGAGAGGAACCAAACCTCCTGCTCAGATGTACCATGGCAGCTCAGTCGCCATGTGCGTTCCCTAGTAAGGGGAGCCAGAGTTATCTCTGACATGGACTCAGTTGCCAGATCTTAGATCATTTCCCCTTGGAGAGGATGCCTTGCCAGGCCACAGAAGAAGAGGGTGATAGGTTAGGGTCAGATAGTAGGGGAAGAGGATTCCCCCTTTCTGTGTGCATAGGGGAAGGGGGAGAACAAGAGGAGAGGAGGGAGGGAGCCACAATCAAGATATAAAGTGAATAAATTATAACAAATTAAAAAACAACAAAAAATAAGACTGAATGAGAGAACATTCCAGCATTTTCTCTGCTTTCTCCCACAACCCATTTCTAAAATGCCAACTACAGGCAGCGTTGCATTTTTTTTTTTCTGGTGTGGTATACTTTGATCTTTTCCTAAAATCATATATTTACTTTCTTATTTTTACAACTCCTTGACCATGATGTAAATATTTTCTTTTTGGCATTTATAGAGGTTGCCTCTTTATGTCAGCTTCCTAATCATGAATGTGAATTATCCCTCTCATATGAAGACTACAGAAGGGGATATAGGTTGGGGGTAGGAAAAACCAAATTCTAGGAGTATTTGGTAGGGTAAACACAAAACCAAGTGGTCTAAAAAAATGTGCAACAATAAAATGACTCCTAATGGTATTCTGCGTACACATAGGTCAGTGTTTTATTCAGCCATCATCAGAGAGGCTCCTCCTGCAGCAGATAGGAAGACCCACAGCAAAACATTACACACAGAGAGATAGACCTTGTATCATACAGCTCTAACTAAACAAGACATGGCCATCAAATTCCTCACCTCAGAGCTCAGGGAACCCTGTGTGGAAGAGAAGGCCGAAGGGATGAGGGAGACAGAGGGGACAAAGAACACTAGGAGAACAAGGCTCTCTGAATCAACATGAGCAAGGCTTGTATGAACTCAGAGAGACTGAAGCTGCATTCACAGGGTCTACACTGGTGTCCTTTTAGTTTAGTACTTTTAGTTTTTAGTTTAGTACTTTTATAAAATTTAGTTATGAATGTGTAGATGAGTAGGTTTCTGATTCTTGTGCCCTCTCTTGGGGCTCTTTTATTTTTCTGTTGGTTTGTCTTACCCAACTTCTATGTGATGGTTTTTGTTTTACCTTATTTTATTTTGTTATGTTTTGTTGTTATCACCTAAAAACCTGTTCTTTTCCAATGAGCGCAAAAAAAGGGAGTAGATATGAATAGAAGAGGCTGTGTGGAAGAACTGGTAGAAGTAGGGAAAACTACTCCTCAGATTATATTATTTAAGAAAAAAATCTATGTTTAATAAAAGGGGAAACAGACATAAAATAAATAAAATACTTGTTTAAGTTCTTATTCATTTTGACCCTGATTAAGAAATTCAATGTCTTTTGACATTATGTATAAAAATTCATATATAATAATGAAAATCATAATAAAATAGAAACAAAATTAATAATAGTTTCAAAGTAAGTCACGAGATTATATGAGGATAAAACAAGGCAATATATCAATAAATTCACTTAAGATAACAAAAAGTATTATTATGTGATTATTCTGATATATTTGTCACAATTCTGATTTAGTCATTTTAAATTCTGAGATTATTAAATTAATTTAGTCTGTACTTGTGTTTAAAGGCAGAAAAAATATAATGGCTGAGAACACCATCTTTAGAGTCAGGTAGATACTGGGTTCATTTAGTTTTTCATCTTATTGGTCTATTACTCATGAGGAAGTCATTATCCAATATTTTATATGTAAAGTGAGTTCTAAAAGAGAAAGTTTTGTGAAACTTTAGATTATGCATGTATTCAGTGAGAACTTAATCTCATGTAATAATTAAAAATAATAGTCACTCCATTTTTTAATTGGATTACTTGATTTGTTGCTGTTTAACTTCTTGAGTTCTTTATACATACTGGAAATTAGTCCTCTGTCAGATATAGGGTTGCAGAGCTAAACAGAGACTTCTCAATAGAGGAATATCGAATGGCAGAGAAACACTTAAAGAAATGTTCAAAGTCATTAGTCATAAGGGAAATGCAAATCAAAATGGCCCTAAGATTTCACCTTACACCCATCAGAATGGCTAAAATAAAAACTCAAGTGATAACACATGCTGGAGAAGTTGTGGAGAAAGGGGAACCCTCTTCCACTGCTGGTGGGAATGTAAACTGGTACAACCACTCTGGAAAGTAATCTGGCGCTTTCTCAGACAACTACGAATAGCGCTTCCTCAAAATCCAGCTATACCACTCCTAGGCATATACCCAAAAGAGGCTCAAGTACACAATAAGGACATTAGCTCAACCATGTCTGTAGCAGCTTTATTTGTAATAGCCAGAAACTGGAAACAGCCCAGATGCCCCTCAGTGGAGGAATGGATACAGAAGGTGTGGTACATATACACAATGGAATATTACTCAGCAATAAAAAAACAAAGAAATCATGAAATTTGCAGGTAAATGGTAGGATCTGGAAAAGATCATCCTGAGTGAGCTATCCTAGAAGCAGAAAGATGCAGACGGTATATACTCACTCATATAGACATATAATATAGGATAAACCTACTAAAATCTGTACACCTAAATCTAATCTACAAACTAATCTACACCTACAAACTAATCTAGAGGGAGGACTCTTGCTAAAATGCTCAATCCCTATCAGAAAGGTAAACAGATGGACATCAGAAGAAGGAGAAAAGAAGGAACAAGTTAGGAGCCTGACACAGATGACCTCTGAAAAGCTCTGCCCTGCAGACTATCAATGCAGATGCTGAGACTTATGGGCAACCTTTGGGCAGAGTGCAGGGAATCTTAGGAAAGAAGTGGGAAACAGTAAGATCTGGAGAGGACAGGAACTCCACAAGGAGAGCAACAGAACCAAAAAATCTGAGCATAGGGGTCTTTCCTGAGACTGATACTCCAACCAAGGACTATGCATGGAGATAACCTAAGACCCCTGCACAGATGTAGCCCATGGCAGTTCAGTATCCAAGTGGGTTCCATTATAATAGGAACAGGGACTATCTCTGACATGAACTGATTGGCCTGCTCTTTAATTACCTTCCCCCTCCCCTGAGGGGGAAGCAGCATTATCAGGCCACAGAAGAAGACAATGCAGCCACTCCTGATGAGACCTAACTGACTAGGATCAGAAAGAAAGAAAAGAAGACCACCCCTATCAGTGGACTTGGGGAGAGGCATGCATGCAGAGGGGGTAAGAAGGAAGGGAGTGGGATGGGAGGAGGGAAGGAACCACGGGGGGATACAAAGTGAATAAAGTGTAATTAATAAAGAATTAAAAAAGAAGAGCCAAATAAATAAATAAATAGAGTTAAACAAAAAAAAAAAAATAGTCACATCTAGCAAAATTTCCCTAACTTTTCAATGTAAATAATCCCAATGTTTCATTAATCTAGGATTGCACTTACCTGACCGTTTGACTGAAAGGAGTATTATCAGTCCATTGCCATTTGCCATTACCTTGTGGATCAGAAAGCCCCAGAAAGTAAGAAAGTGACTCATTCAGCTGTTGGGTAATGAAAGTCTGTAGGAATAAAAGGGAGTTAACAACTTGGAATTTTCATGTTAACAAAGTGAGCATTCTTTACAGACTTCACAGCCATATGGAATAGAAGAAAACACAAGTGAAAGGAATGGTCATTTGAACCAATAGCACAGGAACCAAAAATATCAACATTTCTTGCAAAGCCAGAAGACCCTAACCCATGAACCTTCATTATTCATTTCCACCAATTAAAAGAATCATCTCTAATTCCATTAGGTTGTTTTTTTCTACTTTTAATCTCTTCTAAAATGTTAAGTGTTTAAATGTTAATATATTGGATTCTATGTCTTTACCTGACAGAGCCAAGGATGCCCAGATTAAAACACCATTTCTGAGTATATCTGTAACATGTTCTCAGATATAACTGGCTACAGGATCTGGGATCTCAGTAAAATAACTTGCCCTTATTCATGTGGGTAGACATCATCCAAACATTTGAGGGCCTGACTAGAACAGAGTCAAAGGAAAGAGGAGTTCATCTTATTTTGCTTCCTGCCTATCTGCCTTCTGATGCCTCTGGTTCTCAGGATTTTGGACTCTGTCTGGAGATACACCAGTGGTTTTCAACAAGGTTGCAGGATATGAAATCGACATACAAAAATCAACACCATTTCTTCACAGTAAAAAAAAAAATCTGAAAAGCAAGTAAGAGGACAGCTCTTTACAATAGAATCAAAAAGAATAAACTATGTAAGGATAAGCTTAACCCAGGGGACAGCCAACTCAGGAAGCAAAACAATGTATTCTGAAATCTGAAGTCATTGATTAAGAAAATCAGAAATCATGCTAGTAAGTAGAGAGACATTCCATTTTCCTGAAGAGTGCATAAGTCAACTCATATGAAGAGTGGGTAAATCAACTCATATGTATACCCACGTGGTCTCTGATCAAGTGCCAAGATCACATGATGAAAAAAGGACAAACTTTTTAAAATGAGTTGGGAATGAATGTTGTGGGAGAAGAATGAGGTTAGTCCCTTCCCTTATACTTCATGCAAAAGTTAATTCAAAGTGCTTAAAAGACTTAAATGAATGGTACAAAATTGTAAACTCTTGAAAGAAAACCTAAGGTAAAAGCATCATTGCATTGGAACTAGCAATGCATTCTGGGATGTGATACCAAAAGAACAGGCAACAAAATAAAAATAGACAAAGTAATATACCAAACTAAACTAAAAAGCTTTTGATAAGCAAAAAATAAAACAAAACACAACAACAACAACAAAAACAGCAAATAAAAAAAGCAACCAATTGTATTAAAGAAGATTTTTGAAAGCCATATATCTGATAAGGGACTAATATCCAAGATATATTTAAAAATACCTATAACCAACAAGAGCCAAAGAAATAACACAATTAAAAAGTGTGGGGAATGCTGTGATTAATACAAAAATAAAAAAATAAATAAAATTAAAAAAAGTGTGGGGAATGGTAATGTTGAGCTGACATTTTTTTCCAAGGAAAATCTACAAATGGCCAACAGGAATGTTAAAAGATGTTCTACACAGGGAATCGGGGTCAGGAAAGGGTTGGAATGCAGCAAACACAGTGAACTCACATGAGAAGTTATCTGATTAAAAGCGTTCGGCATCATTATTCATCAGGGAAATGCAAATTAGAACTTGTTTTGGTTTCAGAATCACCCCAGTCAGAGTAGCAGTCACAAGAAAACAAATGACAACAAACACTGACAAGGAGACGGGGAAAGAGAAATACTTGTTCTTGTTGGTGGCAGTATAAGCTGGTGCAACCACCACAGAAATGAGTGTGGGGTTTTCTCAAGACATGGAAACCAGAAATTCCACGTGGGAATTGTCACCATATCACTCCTGGGCACACACCCAAAGGACTCTGCTACAGAGAGGTGTTTACTCATCCGTGTTCATTGCTGCTCTACGCACAGTAGCTAGGAAATGGGATCAGTCTAGATGTCCGCCAACTGAAAATGAAAGATGAAAATGGGAGACAGGTACACCATGGAGTTGTAAAGAAAATGAAATTGTGAATTGTGCAGATAAATTAACAGCGTGGGAAAAATTACTAGTTAGTCTCGGCCCAAGAAGGGATAGTAGAACCGAGATGCTATGAAAATAGATGGAGTGAATACTGGGAATGTAAAGGATCGGGCCGGAGTGTGGTGGGTGATGAGGGAACTGAATGGATGGGGGGAGGTTTTAGCCAAAACTTAGGATGTGTGAAAAAGTCAGTGTGAAAACCTACTGTTTTGTAAGCCAATTAAAAATACAATTTTAAAAATGGAGTTTGCCTTGTTTTGATTTGCATTTCCCTGATGACTAAGGATGTTGAACATTTCTTTAAGTGTTTCTCTGCCATTCAATGTTCCTCTATTGAGAATTCTCTGTTTAGCCCTGTACCCCATTTTTAAATTGGGCTACTTGATTTGTTGCTGTTTAACTTCTTAACTTCTTTATATATTCTGGATATTAGCCCTCTGTCAGATATAGGGTTGGTGAAGCGCCTTTCCCAACCTGTAAACTGTAATTAATAAAAATGAAATTAAAATTAAAAAATGGAGTATGGGAGAGATGGCTCAGAGGTTAAATGCACTGGCTGCTCTTTCAGAGGTTCTGAGTTCAATTCCCAGGAACCACATAGTGTCTCATAACCATGACTATCATTAGATCTGGTGTCCTCTTCAGGTGTACGTTGGATATATACATTGCATATATAATATACATTGTATATATAATAAATAAGTAAATCTGAAAAAATGGAGTTTGAAGGGAGTTATCCTCCATGGATATAGCTGCTCAAGAAGTTATTAACCAATGTGAATTAAATAAAGTGATCATTAAAATCCCAGTGTTTGGTCTGAGATAGCTCTTTATAAGATATTGTTCAGAAAGGCTACAGAGCCTTCAGAAAAGCTTCCATTTACAGCAGGTGACAGTTCACGTAGAGATTCATAACAAGTCAATGCTCTTCAATGGGACATCTACACCACCCCAACCTCAGTGGGTATCACAGAGGGAAAGGGATGCCGTTGAAATGCACAACAGCAATGGTTACCTGTGAAAGACATGCTCAAGACTGGAACCACCAACATTCCATCATGGATGTGAGAGGGGCTGGCAAGATCGTATCCCTCCCTGAGGAGCTAGGGGCAGCGAGCAGTTGGCAGTAGAAAGGGAGTAATATTTCTCAGAGGTTTTGCTGCTGGGGCATTGACCTCACTCAAGCAAGTAGATGCTCACCCATGTTCATGGGGTTATTGAAATATGAGTGTCATACACACACACACACACACACACACACACACACACACACAAAGTAGAAAGGGAGATTTGGAAAGAAGAGGGAATTCAGAGGGAATTCAGAGGATAAGAGAAAATGATGCAGGAAACTTTGATCAAAGAAGATTCTAGAAGAATGAAATTATGAAGTGCTGTTTTGTTGTTTTGTGGTTTGTTTGTTTGTTTGTTTTGTTTTTTTTTTTTTTGAGACAGGGTTTCTCTGTGTAGCCTTGGCCATCCTGGACTTGCTTTGTAGACCAGGTTGGCTTTGAACTCACAGAGATCCACCTGATTCTGCCTTCTTGAGTGGTGAAATACCTTTTTAAAAAGTAGGATTAAAGAAGATATTTACACAACTAGAGTCATTGCACTATTCATAATAGCCATAGAATGGAAGCAATCTGCATGAAAACCACTCACTGAATGGAAAGACGGTGGTATTTTGAGTGTTTTCTCACACATACATACATGCATGTGTTGGGTTTGAGCATTAATTTCATTATAGTACTCGGTTTACAATGTATACCTATAGCAAACAATCACATTATACACTGGAAATATCTACTTTTTTCTGTCAGTTACACCTTAAGATGCTAAAATATCATATAAAACAATATACATATACATATAATGGAATAATCCAACTTAAAATTGGAAAAAGTCACATATTACAACATGGATGAACCTTGAGGGTATCATGCCAAATGAAATCAGCCAGACAAAAATACACACATGCACACACACATACACACACACATAAATAATAATAATAATACATGATTCCACTTACATGAAGACTCTAAAGTAATCAAACTCATAAAAACCATGAAGTAAAGGCGTGATTGCCAGAGCCTTTATGGATTAGGAAGTGGACAGTCTGTTCAAGGAGCAGAGAAAAGGGCTTAATGAACAATGAAAAAGAGCTACCTGCTCAGCTTCAGTATTGATCACCACCAAATGAGCCCCCCTCTCAACGCAGTTCTGCTCACTGATGCTCCAGAAGTTCTCCTTGGTGGAAATGAGGTAGCAGCTGGAACCAAATGGCTTCCAGTGATTTGGGCAGCATCCCCACATTTTTTCTGTGATGCGAGATGAGGCAAATAAGGTAAAGGAGGCATGTTCTACCCTACTCCGGGCCCTTTCTCAATATAACCACAGCATGTACTGTTCTCTGAGTGTATAATTTGCAACCAGAGAGCTGATATTGAGAGCAGCGCTGACTTCATGGGTTACTTAATCACATAATATCTCTGAAGCATTTTATACAGTATTTAGCTCAGAATAACTGTGCCATAAATGTTGCTTCTTACTAATTTTTATGGAATATCAAACATTCAAGAATTATAACCATCATTTATTGATTATTAAGGATGCAGAGCATGGGCTTATGCTCTGACACAAGCATCTGAACTTCTTAACACCTTCCCTGAGTAGGAATGAAGTAAAGAAGATAAAGTATGCTTTTTAACTATTATTTAATTGTGGTCAAAATATACATTTTTTTCATCTTTATGAGCTAATTTTTTGGCTTTTATTTTAAATTAAAAATATTTTTTACACAATATATTCTAATTATGGATTCTTCTTTCCCATCTCTTCCAAGACCCTTGTCACCTCTCCACACATCCAAATCTATACCTTCTGTCTATCTTTCTTTAGAAGACAGACAAATTTTTGAAGGATATAATTTAAAATAGAAGAAAAGCACTAGAAACACACAGAGACACAGAAACAAAGCCCATAAAAAATAGAAACCATTACATACAAGCAAAAGACCAGTAAGATTTTTTTAAATACCCAAATGAAGCAATATGAGACCAAAATCACCTACAAAAATACCATTGCATTTGAAGTCTGTAAAAACATACATGGTGGAATAAAATAAAGAAAATAATTCATGACGTGGAAGTAAAAATATAACTACTAAGTAAAATCCAAAGATAAAACTGTACAATTTTATAATCACTAAGTAAAACCCAGAGATACAATTGAGGAAGTAAAACAAGACCTAAGAGACAAGACTCAACAACAGAGTACAAGACATGGAAGAGAGAATCTCAGTCATTGAAGACAAGATAGAAGAAATGGATACCCCAGCCAAAAAAAAAATATCAATCTAAAAACATCCAGGAAATCTGAGATCCTATAAAAGACCGTATCTATAAAAATTGAGGAAGGAAAAAGAAACAGATCAAATGCACAGGAAATATTTTCAGCAAATTACAGAAGAAAATTTCTCCAACCTAAAGAAAGAGATGACTAGAGCGTAGTCTGTACGTACGTAGTTCTGTACGTAGACAAGAAGCGTACAGAACACCAAATAGAATGGACCAGAAAAGATAGTCCCACAACACACCATAATCAAAATAGTATACATACAGAACACAGAAAAATATGAAAAGCTGCAAGGGGAAAAGCCCAAGTGACATATAAAAGAAGACCACATTAGAATAACAGCTGAATTTTCATTGAAGACTGAAAAAGAGAAAAGGGACTGAATGGATGTTCTACATACTCTAAGAGACCATAGGTGCCAGCCCAGACTACTACACCCAGCTAATTATTTTTCTTTGAAGCAGAATCTCACTGCATAGCTTTAAAACTCTCTAGGTAGACCAGGCTGAATTCAGACCTGAAGAAAATTTTCTGCCTCAACCTCCCAAGTGCTGGAATTAGAGAATTTAATGCATCACCATGAATGATAAAATAAAAACTTTTTTTTTACTGAAAGTTTTTTATTGTATTAATTCAAGAGTATTGTCAAAATGTCCACTATTTTTATTTTCTCGTATGGTATTGTATAAAATAATTTCATCACATAAACTTATCTACAAATAGAATTAACTTTGCCAAACAGCATGCTTGGCCGTAATTTTAAGCTGGATACACTTAGGAATTGTGTTTATGGATGGATGCAAAGTTAATTTAATTAAAATCCATTTCTGTCTCATTTCAGAGCCTCCTGAAGGCAAAGTGACCATTTTTCCTCTCCAGGAAGATACTCTTTAACACTGCAGTTGTAACCTGGTGAGGTCCTGCACATCTGTAATCCCAGCACTCAAGAGGCTGAACCAGGATGATTGGGAGTACAAGCTAGTTTAGACTTCCCAAGGAGTTGAACCCTTCTTGGGCTATATGTCAAACCCTGTCTTAAATTTGATATATGAGCTATTATTGTATAAGTGTCTCCAAAAAATAAGAGTAAGACTATCTTCTTGAAATTATGTTTCGCTGGAGGAAAAATCAGCTTCATAGTTGTTTGACCCAAAGAACTCAATGAGTTAAGAAAAGCATGCTTAGAGCGAGCTGACAACACTGTCACATTGCTAGGCAACACATCCTCACCAGTAACTAAAAGGGGAGAAGGGGGAAACCCAACATCTCCTAGATGTAGGAGGAGCTTTTGCTCTGTCTTCATTTCTCAAGAATTTCTCCACGAAAGTGGCACAGTGAGTGAATGAGTTCTTGGATTAGGACTCTGACAGATGTCTAGATGGCATTCTTTTTCATGTGTAAGTATTAAGTCCGTAAGGAAAACTACAGACAAGGGCCTAACTGTCTTTAGCATCACACAGAGGTAAGGCAGAGATGATACTCAACTTAACTCTCTGGACATGACTTTACCATTTATGCATTCTGGACAAGGGCAGGCTCAGTTTCCCCAGTAATAAAGCTGATACTTGGAATAGGGTTGGATAGTATTAATTGAGACACGTAAATGGTGAAAAGAATTTTACGCAATGAATGTAAAACTCATGAGAATCTTTATGAATGATTTCCGGAGTTTAAGTGACAGACTGTGTGTTGTGTGCTCACAGTGTTTCCCAAAAGCAAGATGCCTGGGAACTGAATTGAGTCGTTTCATAGAAATAACCAGAACCTGAACTGACGATGTAAGCTTAGAGAAAGCTTGATGGTTTCCAAGTTGAATCACCACACCCCCGTCTTTCTCCCAAGTCAAGGGAAATACTGAGAATCTTCACCTGACACCATGGTCCCTTCACTGAAGCAGCTGATACTGGAATGATATGTATGGAGTTCAAACAGTCTTCTATTGGGGTTGTCCGTCGTAACCTGGTAAGTCACTGTGAAGAAAGGAGGGAATGAGCATCATCAGAACCAGCCCTGCAGCCTCATGTCCTCTATGTGGGCCAGGCCAGAGCACTTCCTCTCCACCTCCCCCACTTCTCAGGCAAACCCACTGAAGCCCAGACTAAAGCATTGCTCCCCTGAATTCACTTACATCAGTGATTCCTACAGCTCCTCATTTGCTCCTCCCCCACTATAACATCTGTTTTATTTTTTGGGACAAACATTTCATCTTCTATATCAATTAATAACAATGCCCTGCATCAGGGATCTGCCACAGGTTCTTCGTGATTATCTGTTGACACACCAGTGTCTGGCTTCATTTGTTTGAACAACTTCTAGGCAAGAATAATGGGTATGTTACCATATCCTAACCATTCCTGGTTGCAGGTAGGAGTTCTTTAAATATCTGGGGTAGATATGATCAAGATACATTGTATTTAAGCATGAAAGTTTTAAAGGATAAACAAAAATTGTTTTTTAAGATTATCATTCAGTCATTCTGAATGAGATTTAAGCATCCTCCCATGGGTCTTCCTTGTTATTTACCTTTTTTAGGTCTGTATATGGCTATCCTATATCATATGACTGATATCTGCTTATAAGTGAGTATATACTATGCCTGTCTTTCTGTTTCTGGGTTATCTCACTCAGGATGATCTCTTCTAGTTCCATCCATTTGCCTGAAAATTCCATGATTTTTTTTTAAATAGCTGAGTAATATTCCATTGTATAGATGTACCACAATTTCTGTATCCATTCCTCAGTTGAAGGACATCTGGGTTGTTTCCAGATTCTGACTATTACAAATAAAGCTGCTGTGAACATGGCTGAGAAAATATCCTTGCTGTATAGTTGAGCATATTTTGGATATATGCCCAGGAGCAGTATAGCTTGGTCTTGGGGTAGTTTCCCAGTTTTCTGAGAAAGTGCCAGATTGATTTCCAAAGTGGTTGTACAAGTTTACATTCCCACCAGCAATGGGTGAGGATTCCCCTTTCTCCACATCCTCTCCAGTATGTTTTGTCATTTGACCTTTTTATCTTAGCCATTCTGATAGGTGTAAGATGGAATCTCAGAGTTGTTTTGATTTGCATTTCCCTGATGACTAAGGATGCTGAGCATTTCTTTAAGTGTTTCTCTGCCATTCTATATTCCTCTATTGAGAGTTCTCTGCTTAGCTCCACACCCCATTTTTGATTGGATTGTTTGGTTTGTTGGTGTCTAATTTATTGAGTTTTTTTATATATCCTGGATATATACATCTGTTGGATGTGGGGTTGCTTAAATCTCATTCAGAGTGGCAAACAGGATAGACACCAGAAGTGGCAGAAGAAAGGAAACAGGATGGGAGCCTAAGATAGAGGGTCCTCTGAAGAGATTCACCCAACAGGGTATCGAAACAGATGCTGAGACTAACGGCCAACCTTTGCTCAGAGTGCAGGGAGTCTTACAGAGGAAGAAAGGGGTGGGAATAGAGGGACATGGAGGGGACAGGAGCCCCACAAAGAGACCAACAAAACTAAAAGATCTGAGCCCAGAGGGTCCTGCAGAGACTGATGCAGCAACAAAGGACCGTGGATGGAGAAGACCTAGGCCCCCTGCTCAGTCTCCATGTGGATCTCTGAGTGAGGGGATCAGGGGCTGTCTCTATCATGAACTCAGTGGACTACTCTTTGATCACTCGCTCCTGATGTTGTGGCTTTTACAGGCCACGAGGGAAGAGAATCCAGGCAGTCCTCATGAGACTTAACAAGCTATGGACAGATGGCAATAGTGGAGAACTCGCCCTTTCAGTGGACTAGGGGAAGGGGATGGGGGGAAGAGGTTGGGAGGGTGGGGCTGGAGGGAGTTGAGAGAGGGGACTTCAATCAGGATATGTAATGAATAAATTGTGAAAAAAAATTAAATTTAAAAAATTAATAAAAAATAGTAATAATAAAAATATCATTTTGTTCATGAGTGTGCATATTAAACAATGTTAACAAAAACAGACTTTCTTCACTGTTTTAAGCAAATGTTTCTAGTTCATGTTTTGGATCTTGAACTTCTGTTTCTTCTTGACTAGTAAAGTAACTATCCTTAACTACCCTACCCCGGCCTCTTAGGCCTGGCTGTGCCAATTAGAGCAGATCCTGCTTCAGTGAGAATGATGTCTCATGGCAGACAGACTGCAGACATGAGGCACTTGGCATAAGTCACTCCCACTCCCTCCTGGACTGTGCAGTGACTACTGTGACCATCTTCACAGCAAATAGAGACGCAGACTGTAGACCGCAAAGGACATCATCAAAGCTTCTGGCACAATAGACTTCAGATATGGCTTTGTGGGCAGATGAAACAGAGCAGGAATGTTTTATCTCCTCAATCCTCATTGTAAACAATTTGCTTACTTTTTCCTCTCGTGTTGAGAAAAAAAAAAAATCCCATATGAATGGAAGAATGTAAACTGCCGACATTATAAAATCAACTGGAGTTGCACTCCTAGTAGAGAGATGCTGTGACCAGAGAATGTGATTGCTGGTGAACCCAGTGCTGGAAGGCAATGTTACAGATGATATCTACAAATAATAGCGTGTTAGCAATGCTGGGTGAAATCCCAGAGGTTAAAAGATGGAAAGAAAACAATGAGAAATAGAAGTCAACAACAACAAAAAAGAGCAGTACATGTAAGGTCTGAGCAGTTAATGGGACTCAAAAAATAGCCCCAGCTGGGTGTGGTGGCCCATGCCTTTAGTCCCAGCACTTGGGAGGTAGAGGAATGTGAATCTCTGAATTGAAGGCCAGCCTGGTCCACAGAGTTCCAGGACAGACAAGACTACACAGAGAAACACTGTCTCAAAAAGCCAAAACCAAACTGAAAAAGCATCACTTGGGAGTCTCTGCAGAACAGACAAGAAAGTGCCCAGAAGTGACATGCATCAGTGAAGAACTTACACACACAGCTCGCGATGAAACAGGCACTGAGGAGTAAAATGGAAATCACAGCAACTGACCAGAGTCTCAGTGTCCAGCAGACTCCCTTTCCTGTGAGAGAGCAAGCAGGTATACTCACCACAAGACCAAAAAGCTTAGAGCAATGACTAACCAGACAAAACGCTCGGACTAATTATAAAGGTAAAGGAGTAAAAATCTGTCAAAGCCCTAGAATAAATGACCAGGTCATCTCTGAAGCACATGCACACACACACACACACACACACACACACACACACACCTAGAAAAATTTTACCCTCAGACACCTGCAATTCCCTTGTCCTTATACTTTCTTCTTAAGAATTACATTCTTCCATTGATGCCCCATCTTATTACATTCCCTTTCAGTATTTGGCTTCTTATTTTTTTCAAGGGCTTCTGGCTCTGAGATAATCACACTTACTTCAAATTCCCATAGGTGTGCTGTCTGGCTCTCTTCTATGCCCTCAGCCTGCCCACTTCTCTGTGTCTTTACCCCAGGCAACTCCTCATCACACCACACATGTCCACTGTCTCCTCTGAGACAGGGTGGCTCACCTCACCTCGACGCTGTCTTTCCTGAACCATTATTTAGGTGTAGGTTCAGAGGGTCACAGTCTTCTTGAATCTGTCTCTCCGTGATATGAATCAGGGACCTGGCTTCCTTCAAACAGGCCAGAGCTCCAATCAACCTCTACAAGTTCCGAGTTAAACGTCCCAAGGATGGCCAATGATGTACACAGAAGACTGGTGTCCGGTGATTTAAAGACACAGGAAAGAGGAAGTTGAGAAACATGCCTAAAATTGTTCCTTAGAACTTTGACATGAATTTTCTCATTGCTTGCTTAGTTCCTAATGTGGAACTCTCTTCCCACGACAAAAGAAATTTATCTATAAGCTTTAGATAAATTAGGTTTTCCTTACAAAACCTTATGTGGGCTATTTAGTTCATATAACACTTCATTCAGATATCTAAGAGGGTTCTGGAAGCAATAAAAAGTCTGATTGAATGGCTAAAACTTAGATATTATAATTAATGTAGTAAATAATAAGAAGTTCATGGAAGAATGGGAGATGGTAAAGTCGTTGGTGGCCTTGCAAGCATGAGGACCTGAGACTGATGCTCAGAACCTACTTGGAAATGTCATGTGTGATGATCCATGCTTGCAGTCCCAGCACTGAGATAGCAGATCCAGGCAGGTCCCTGGGAGCTTCTTGTCTATATAATCCAGCATAATTGATGTTTCCAGAACCATGAGAGACCCTGCCTCAAAGGAAGTGGATGGTGTTCCTGAAATTTATACCTGAGATTGTTCTCAAATGAAAAATAAAAAGGAAATAAAATGAAGACACGACTGTGCCTAAGGGGTTGAAATATTTATTATAGATAAAAGGAAGTGCATAGCCAGCAGCATCTGAAATGATGCAGAGTGGACCAGGCCATAGATGGGGGTTGCAGGGAGAGCACAGGAACCAGAGGCCAAGAGTCTAGGAGTGAGCCAAGAAATCAGGAGACCAAAGGGACCACATAGCCAAAATGTCTGGGCTACATAGCGAAGAGAAGCTGGGGGAAGGGGACATTCCAGTCCCTGGGCTGGAGAGTTAGGTTTGGGGGCAAGGTATACAAGCCAGGATGTCTCTGTAACAGGTACTAGCAATGCGGAGGGAGGCTGGCGGATGACATCTGTTTTGATATGTTAGTAGGCATCTAAATTAGCTGTTTGTCCTGGGTTGGAGTCCTAGCAGTCCTCAGTCCTTCACACATATGTGCAAATGCACACACATGTACATACATACAAACATACATACGCTAAAAAGAGAAGACACTGAGCATTATTCAGAAGTGGTATTGTGAAATGGGGATGGTATTGTGATGTGCATTTTGCCATGTAATGGCTCTTTTGAATCTGAGGAAAGTGGTATTGAATTATGACTATTTTGACCATACACTGAAAGTACTAACTCGATTTTGAACTCCCTCTTGTCACACAAGCTGTAACTAAGGCAAATAACTGGTTGATCATCTTGACCTCACAGTGGCAATCACCCTGATGGCTGTCGGTCAATATGCAAATAAGACTGCTAGAATCTGGGCCTCTTAGATAGACACTTCCTTAGACTATAGTGACCAGCGTATCAGATGCCGTGTGTGACACATCTCTTGATTCTACCTTTAAGCTATAGGTGTGGAGACTGTTGGGGCAAATAAGTCCTTTTCTTCAAGGCTGATGACTTCAGAGCAGTCTGGATCTTTTCCACTGCCATCATGGAAGGGACTGACCTCTGTAACCATCCACAGGATTTCATTCAGGAGTGCATGGTTCATTCATTCCTAAAGCTGTGTGTCAACTAATTTTCTTTCACCCAGTTTTGCCTACATATCCATATATTCCTTTCCCTTACTTTCGTGTGTTCCGCCTTTGTGTTCCTTGAAGCAAGCTGATTGATTTGTGAACTGCTCTCATGTGGGGCCTGATTTGTCGTATGATTGAAGAGGAAAGAACATATTCCTCTGGCAGGAGTTATAATCCTTAGGCTTGAAATTGTTGTCAGGGACCAATGAACAAGACTGACCTTGGTCCAATAGGACAAAATCTTATTTACAGTGGGCAAAAGTTGGTTTTAGTAACATTTTGTGAATTCTTTCATTAGGATAGGAACATTTTTTGAGTTCTCTCAGTAGGTTAAGGGAAGCAAAAATTGGTATGAAAGCAGAGGCAAGCTTCATAAAATCTGTTACCACTCTCTCTTCTCTGGAGCCTTCCCTCTGCTTTTACTACCAGCACGTCCACATTCATAGGGAAGCAGTATACAACAGGATAAGTATGATATTGGGGTGCAGAACATGTTCATATATGAACTCTATACTTGGTTCTTAGCATAGAACTTCTAAAAGTCTTTTGATCATAGAAATCCTTCTGTGGAAATTTTTGTGGGAACTTTTTAAATTAAAAAAAAATAGTTCAGAGCAATAAATATAAAAGGAAAAGCTTTTCTTACACATAACAGTTTCATTTTAACCAGGCCTTACATTGCGCTAATGAGATGACTCTTGCCAGTCCCCAAGATTGTTTCAAAATGGGACCAACCAACTATGGTGAGACCGTTGGAGCCCTTACTCCCACTCCTTCACAAAGGGGAAAAGAACTGAAGACTTAGTTCAACCTCCCATGATCAATTAAAGACCTTCAGAGAAAGCTCAAATGTAGATTAAACTCAACGAAGCTTTTCAAGAACCAGCATAGGGGTAGCTACAGCTAATTATGGGATAGATTTAAGTCCCCCCTTTTTTCCTGTGGTTGTTAGAGATTTATTAAGTCATAAAATGAGAAGGAAGAAGTGGTTATCTCCAACGCACTACGGCACCACCAACTGTTTCCAGTTCCCCTAAGGGATGAGAAAGCACAAAGTATAGTGTTGAGTTGATTGACGGTTGAGGAAGAGAAAATACCCCCTAAGCGGTGCAGAGATACACTGCTTCCTGTCCCATTTCCAGAATGCGCTCCCCTCACTGATTTCTGTCTTGACCACTAACACCCTGCACTCTAGTCTCTGCTCCCTTCAGCGTCCAGGTTATGCTGGAAGGCATAAAGAATGATGACGTGATAGAACAAAGTCCAACTGAAGAATGTCCTTAAGTAAAATATAACATTAAACAGAAGAAAGCAAGCTGGTAGGGAAAATGGAAAATCAAAGCATGAGCAAAATTGTGGCTGAACTCAAATCAGATGTGCAGACAAATATAAAACATCTGTGTCTATCCAGAAAAGAAAATGTAAAAAGTCACTATGGAAAATATAATAACCAGTAAGGATTAAACTAGAAGCATGGGGTATACTTGGAGACACAGACACAGGGAATGTAATTTTGTTTTGTCTGATTTTTTGTCAGTCATAATTTGTACAAGTGTTCCCATAATTACCATGACTTCTAATAAGTGGTTAATTATAGTATCAGTGGTCTTAGAACTTAAAGCCATTGCTTATTGAAATTCTGAAGATGTGATTCTACTATGGTGCATAAATTTTAGTTTACCAAACTTTCAAAGATGAAACACAGCCACCTGCCAAATTTTATTGCTTTAGGTGTCTTTGCATTACTTTCTGCAGGCAATGGCATTTGGCTCTAGGAAGAACAAGAAGGTCAGGATGGCAGCACCCAGCACACAGAGCATCTGAGTAGCGGGTGGTTCAACTCAGTGACTGTGGAGTGCGTATATGGCTGCGCTGCGGACTGTGAAACACAAGCATCTGTGTTTCCTGGGTGAATGCTGGGCCCACTTTCTAGAAGAGAGCTCTCTGGCTCCAGTTACATTCAGCCCTTGGCCCAGGCCTCCTCCTCCTTTCATGAAATATTTGGCAGGTACCAGAAACAACCAGCCAACACCAGGAACAACTGGATGGCTAAAGGGCAGGGTAAAAACACAATCAACAAGAATTACGGTGATATGGCATGACCAGAATCCAGCTATTCTTTTATAGCAAGCCTTGAATATTCCAACACAGCTGAAACACAATAAAATGACCTTAAGTCTATTTTTATAAACACGATAAAGTATTTTAAAGAGGAAACAAATAAATCTCTTAAAGAGATTCAAGAAAATACAATCAAACAGGTGAAGTAAATGAATAAAAAGGCTCAATATCTGAAAATGGAAATAGAATAAAGAAAACACAAACTGAGGGAATTCTAGAGATAAAGAACTCAAGGAAGAGAACCGGAAGTACAGAGGTAAGCATTACCAACATAATACATGAGATGGAGGAGAGAATCTCAGCTGTAGAAAATACAATTGAAGAAATTGATACATCTATAAAAGAAAATGTTAAATACTAAAAATTCATGACACAAAATATTCAAGAAATCAAGAACTTGATGAAAAATGAAACCTAAGAATAATAGGAATAGAAGAAAGAGAAGATTCCCAGCTCCAAGAACCAGAAAATATTTCTTTTTTTAATTTTTATTATTAGTTACATTTTATTAACTCTATCCCAGCTGTATCCCACTCCCTCATTTCCTCCCAATCCCACCCTCCCTCTCTCATCTTCTCCCTGCCACTTTCCAAGTCCACTGATTGGGGAGGACCTCCTCCCTTTTCATCTGACCCTGTTTTATCAGGTATCTTCAGGACTGGCTGCAAAGTCTTCCTCTGTGGCCTAACAGGACTGCTCCTCCCTTGGGGGTGGGGAGGTCAAAGAGCCTGCCATCGAGTTCCTGTCAGAAATAGCCCCTGTTCCCCTTACTATGGAAAACCAATTAGTTACTGAGCTACCATGGGCTACATCCGAGCAAAGGTTCTAGGTTATATCCATACATGGTCCTTGGTGGAGTATCAGTTTCAGAAAAGACCCCTGTGCCCAGATATAATTGGTCCTTGTGGAGCTCCTATCCTTTCCACATCATACTAACCCCCCCCTTCTTTCATATGATTCTCTGCACTCTGCTGAAAGTTTGGTTATGAGTCTTAGTATCTGCTTTCATACACTGCTAGGTAGAGTCTTTCCAAGGCCCTCTGCAGTAGGCTCCTGTCCTGATACTTTTTTTCTTCTATGTCCAATGCACATACCATTTGTCTTTCTAAGTGAGGATTGATCATCTTACCCCGGGTCCT